AAGGAAACCTAAGCAAAAGATCATGTAGAACAGGCCCTGCTACACTGACCTAAAAGAGTAACTGATGTTACAGGAAGTGTATTCACAGAAAGGTAGCTGACACAGCATCAGCCCATGTGAAAAATATCAAAATAACAAGAACCCATAAAGAATTACAAATACAAGGCCTATGTTCCATGTATGGATTAGTGTGTTTAGTCACTTTTTATGGTAACTCAAACTATATGAACAGAGTTTACATCTAATATTCCTCCCACTACTCGACACTACACAAACAGTGACGAATTGCTTTTGTCCCAAGCCTGTTTAATGAATGAACCAATCACGCATTAATGGCACAATCTATGGATGAGTGCTGCATGTTTGGAGACTTTCTCCACACCAGACGCAGTTGGCGAGTGCAGAATTGTCTGTTGACATTGTAAAAATGTAATTACATTTGGTTTATGGATTCCAACACATGTAACATGTACTGCTTCAAGTTAAAGCTGTACACCCTTTAACTATTCCCTACTTGTATCACAGGACATTATTATTTCACATGAAGAGCACCGAAGGTATATTTTGTCGCAGTAGGTCAAATGTGATAATGCTGCACTTTAGAAATGCACCTTGGAACACATTCTGCAGCTTTTCTTCAGTCCATATGAACACCTCAATTAGGATCTCTGAAAGTCACATTTAGCCTGCCTTTAAAAATATTCCAAATCATTATTATAGACCCTGGGACTTAGCATTATCCACCAGTCAGGCTAAGATGCTTATACATTGGCAATCTATGGGACCAGGCAGCTGGACAGCAGTCCTGGAGCACACAATGACTTCCCATTAATGGGTTGCGGAGCATCGGGAGATCCCACCCTGAGCAGAGATTTCCATGTGGATGTGACCTATGGCACAGGGGTACCTGCCCCCAGCCATCTGCACTGATTTGACAAATTATTCTATATCAAAGGCTTCTGCACTGATTTGGGTGGTAATTGATTGGAAGAGAGGCCCTTAAATCCCTGATTGGTTTAGCGGGATGTTGGGGGAGATATGCTGGAGCAAGTGAGAGGAGAGTAAAGAGAGAGAGAGAGTACAGTGCAGGAGATCTGGGAAATATAAAGAGCGTTACCTCATTTGCACTCACACAATTTTGTGTGATATGCAATTTCTACACACAATATGCATGGCATATACTTTTTTTTTACAGAACTGCCTATGGCACGTCTGTTTCTGTTTCTTTTTCAAATGTAACCTTCAGGATATCCAATTTGTTAGTGTGTCCATGAAGATGGGATTTCACCATTCCAAAAAAACGAATCTGGTTAGAAATGGAATCTTATTGATTTGTTCCACATGGAGGTGTGGTCTGATGCAGATATATGAGCATGGCAAGCTGGCTGAGAGGGAGGCACGGATTATATATTCCTTCATCAATTTCCCCTGAATTTCTGACGCTATTAACCCTTGTTGTGGAAATCGTGTGACGAGAGCGATAATATCAAGCATGGCGGTTGGTCATTGTTAGTGATTCCTCTGAGGATTACCTCTATCAGAAGAGCACTGCATGAGAGCACACACATAGCAGTTAAACATGCTCTGTAATGACGAATATCATTTGGAGATTTATCAGTCAAATTACCACTATAATAAATGTGAATCCAATAATATTTATTAATACGGTGTTCCACATGTGGCCCTAAAACCCGTTTAAATATAAAGCTTGCACAATTTACAAGCTGTGACCAGTCCTTCAAGTTAGTCAAGTATACAGTATGGCATGTCTGATGTTCTGCAGATAAGCCAGGAGACTGCAGAGCCCTGTTAATGCAACTGTGACAGCGAAGCCACATACATATAGGCCTACCGTCTTTATTACACGGCAGGCTGGCTGCACCGCATACCTTTTGCCATTTGACACAGACATGCGGTGCTTGCTAGTGACAGATTCTGCACAGTACTGGTCCCAGAGGTCACAAATGACCTTTTGGATTGGCTTTTTTTCAGTCACAAAGAATTATTTGTTTGACGATGGCCACCAATGCAACCCCGGGCACTCTGATGGAGCCGTGGGTTGTCGCTGCTTGTCTTTTGAGATCACATTTGCCTCGTATGAATTCTGCGTGTGTGTGTGTGTGTGTGTGTGTGTGTGTGTGTGTGTGTAAGACGGGTTGAGTGAGTGAATGTGTGTGTCTGCGTGCTTGCATACGCAAGGACATGCACGTGGATGTACGTATTCAGGTAGCCACTAGCCACCCATAGTCAGCTTGATGCCTTTAACTAAGCTTAATTGCTGCATGACTAGCCTCTTGTTTGGATGCCAGAGGGATTTTCTTTTATTATACAGAATGATTCATCATTAAGATGTGCTTCTTCAGTGGCCTTTCCTTGGCTTGAAAATGCTGCTGCCCACAGGATCTTCTCAGCATTTTATCTGTGGCAATCATCACACCCTTATCAGACCTCACAGGACAAAACGTGCTTCAAGAAGCAACGTGTCTGTCGCGCATGTTCGTCACTCTCTCATTCAATTGTTAGGCGACATTTCACAGCAGAGGTTTTCATCTTGTGTGTAAAGTAACACTGTAAAATGGCTTGGAGCGGCACGGCTTTACCTTAGCAATTTCAGAGCTGGCAGGAACAGGGTGCAGCGCAGGCCCCATACTGTCAGAGGTGCTTGATCCCCACCCCCATTCTTGCCTTCTCCATCTGCCACCTAACTAGAATGCACTGTTCACATAGACATCTATTTACACATGCATGCACACACATTCTTTCACATACTTAACAATAATATCAGCCAGAACGCTGCTCTTCAATATCATACCAACCCATAGCTAAATATTTCATATATTACATTTTGAAAAACACAGAAATAAACAATTGTCTTATTTCAGACGTTTCTGTTTACCATCTCTGCTACAAATGTGATTGTGCTGGAACATGTATGCATGTGCACAACCCTCTTCAAAATTCTTTCCTATCCTGTTGTGCTGTAATGAGAAACTGTTATTCATGTTGTAGATTCAGAAGAAAACCTTGTGAAAAACTGACAATTTTCTACCGCCTGAAGCCTAGTGTCAGAAATATGATCTTACCCTCACCTCGTACCCTGACTGCCGTACTGTAATGATGCTCTGAGGTGAGCCCACTCATCAATTATTCACAGAATGCAAGATTTTCACTCTTTATCTTCTCGCCAGCTAGAGGAGACCATTTAGGAAAAACAGGAGGAAATAAAAGGAAAAGAGAGAGAAAGCAGGAAACTGCTTTGCGGATGAATACGAGAGCCTGCTGTGGACAGACAATGCTCTTGATGCGAGTTATAATTGTAGTTTAACAACGTGCAGACCTCTGGGATTTCCAGTATGCAATGTATGGCCTTTAGACTTGGATCGCTATGGAAACCAAAGGCCCTGAAAGACCTGCAGTGCCCACCCACTCGGACAGCCGTTAATCATCTTCGCTCAGATCCTGGCACTGCAGAATTTGGCCAATGTGTCAAGAAGCAATTATATATACTTAGTGCTCGGGCACCCGATCTCCTCCCTCCCCTGTCTTTCCTCGCTCTCGCACTCTTAATATAATCACAGAGTAGTCAGTTTAAAAGCCCTCTGTTCATTCCACTATCTATCTGGGGGATGCACACAATGCAGATGAAGAGAAGTGTAAAAAGACAGAGGATATTCTATTCTGAGAGCCATCACAATCGGAATATTCTTTTCATATAAATCATATCCAGCCATTTACTCGTTTTAGCAGCCTCCAGAGCTGACTGACATACTAAATTAGCCCAGCTGGCCCATTGCATTCACTGCACATATTGGGTTGGTGCGGATCATGGAGACTAATGTGAGCTGACTAGAGGGAGATTATGTTCCGCTGCTAACAGCTAAAAAGTGAATAACACGATCCGCAAACCCACGGTGTTCCCCCCATTACATCAGTCCTGATCAGCTGTGTGAAAATGGAAAGAGAGTAAGTGAGAGAAAGACCAAATGTGGCGGGACACTGACAGACATACTCGAGCTAGAGAGAACGAAGTGCTCCTGTATTAAACATCTGCAACAGCCCGTCCTACACTTGACTATGTCAGACTGAAATTTCTCATCAAGAGCAACCTAAATATGAAAAGTGCAGGTGATATGTGAAGGGCATGCAGTGTTGACAGACTTCCAAACATAAGTTGATTGCCTTCCCTGTGATTTACCAATGACAGACATGGGGGGGGGAGGCGAATCATATTTTATTATTATTTACTGTCCAACACCATCTACAGCTTTCAATGCCAGCAAAGTCATTTTAGACAGCTAGCTGTGCATTAGCGATGTAGAGGAGTGTTAGGCTTTGAACAGTTGATGACAGGCTGTCAGACAGCTTCCCTCCATTGGGCTCCTTTTACCAAGGTCCACTCTTGCAACAAGCCACTCTCCACCATACCAGCCATTCATCCAGAAAAAGACACGGGCATTTTTGACACATTTGGTGGTAAGTGAACTGAAATCGTGTGAATTTCACTACATAGCACATTATCACATTTGCAAGAGGCATGCACCAGGAGCAGGAACTGAGGCGGAAAGTTATTTCAATGTGTGGAAATGACTTGAGAGCATCAGAGGGAAGTGATGACTTTGACTGTGCATGTACAGGACTAATTATCATTGAATAAATCTCATGTCTCACCTCATGTCAAATAAATGTTGAAATAATGAAATGCAGAGAGACAAAAACAGCAGGGAGAGTAAAAAATCTGCTTGATTTTTAAGTGAAAATATTGTCTTTTTAGAATAACTGATAAGCAAATTAATTTGCACATCCTTTGGCAAATATTTTTGTGAAAGGAATGTGGTGCATAGAATGGTCTTGACATGATATAAAGCTAATTTACAAATGTGACATGTGAGTAGGCACACAAACAAAAGCTAATAAGACATTAAATAACATTAAATGCTTGAAATAATTGTTACTTTACATAATGTTGTTTGTCCCCTGTCTGAAAGCAAACTGGAGCTTACCTTATGAGGACAAATGGGGGGCGGTGAGTTGAAAGACTTCTCCGGTGTCTGGATCAGGTTCTACAAGAAAAACACATTATCAGGGACATGTTTTCTGTGGAGGGCATCTCCCTGCAAATCGCCAGTGACAGAAGTTGCAGCTTATTCCCCAGTCCTTACCATTAGCATTTTTGCAATATATTTTAGAGGGGTGAAGCGACTCGCAATCTTTGCAGCCCACTAATCCAAAACCACAGCTTTTGTTGACAGTTGTATTTTAAATCTTTATCTTGACAATATCATCTTAGCGTCCACCATGTGAGTGGGTATAGTGATGTATTTTGTTTTGTTTTCCAGTTTCCCCCTCCTTCCGTGCCTCCACGAAGATTTTAAATCCTTCTTTGTCAGAAGATTTCACTGAACATATGCTCAGAATTTTGCATACATGCCTGAGCTCATTTTTTGAGGTTAAATGATTATCACATTGTTAATACACCAATACATCACTCGGATACAAGAAAACACCATTAAAAAGCTGACGCAAGGTAAGTCAACAAGCCAACAACAGATGGCCCCGCTGCTTGTGATTATGCAAAGATTTAAAGTATTTGCATACTCACAATGCCATCATAAAAAAAAGAGAAAACAAGAAGCCATCTTGAGCTGACCTCCGTTAGAAAAGAAAAGAGAAATGAGCGAGGCAAACCCAGCAGGGATGTGGATGGGCTCTGCAAACCTTTTTGAGAATCTACCAAGGGCCTGCCTCCTGGGAAGGCCCTGTTGATTTCAAGCAGGTGCTTTCAGTTATGCCCTCATATCCAATTATGTGCCTGTGGTATGTCTGATGCTCCCTGACACTATTAATGGCTGCCTTATGGTATCACCGGGACACATGACACACTCAACTCTCCAGACTCTTAACATCTATATTTCATTGCAACATAGAAGGAGAACACCTCTCTGGCCGAGGCAACTCAGAGAGTAAAAAAAAATTAAAAAAACAGCCAAGCTTTCACTGCAGCATAAACACTGCGTCATTAAATATAAATGAATAAATGGGCCTTGCTGGGATGATGGAATTAGTAGACAAAATTTTCCCAACAGATTGAGTAGTCTATATGACCATGATATCTTAATTGATGTGACAAATAAACATGAGTTATTTTCTTTGGGGATGAGAGCAATAGATGGAATTTGCTTTTGAGTGTGTTGCATGTGTGAGGATGGTTTGATTTACAGTGGGGGAAACAGAATGACCTTGATTCCAAGCAGTCTCATTGTGACTTCTATCTTTTATATTGCATATTTAAATGGAGATGAATAAAAAACTGAGGACATTCCAATGACCTGAACTCCAGCTTTTACAATATGGAGACGATTATGCCCTGTACCACTATTAACAATCAATCTTAACAATACTGGAGATAGAAGCACAAAACATTTCCAGTTCGCCATATAACTCCCACTCACTCTAGAATGGTCTGATGTGCTACTAAAAAAATGGAAAAGGTTTAAATCGTTTATGTAATCAGCGTCAAACAGGTAGAATAGATATCTGCACACTTTAATCCATGCAGAGAATGCCTTATTTTTTGCTTTTTGTCTAAAGGACCTTCATCAGCGCTTGCACGGTTCAGCTGGAATGGCAGGTGTAGAAACAAACAAATCACATCCCGATCACTGTATACATACAGTACACCTGTGCACACCCTGGTGGTAGAGGCTCTGCCTCCTGCACTACAGCGTTAAAGTGCTGAATGTAGTACTGAGAGGTTTACAAGTGGATGCTATACTTACACAACAAAAAACATGGGGGTGGAGCACAGGGTATACATACGAACAACATATACAATCACAGAGTACCTCTATAAAAATATCACTTTATTTCATTATATAGTAAATGGGGCTTTGGCCATCGTTAATCAAAGATCCCTAAATCTATAAGAAAGAAATATGTAATCAGTGTCAGAAATCAGAAGACAACATTGCTAAGCAGCAAATGTCAGGATTTATTTTATGTCTGTATAAATTTGAAGCAAACAATAGGGTTTCTATTTCATCTTCGTCAACCACTTCAATGTGAAAGCACAAATGACGTGGAAGAAGCAATATTTACAGATACAAATATAATGTGTTGCTGCTTGGATTCAGTGCAGTGCTTTAGTTCATGTAACAAAAGGAGCCTGTTTAAGCGTGATGCCAACCACAGATAATCTAAATCCTTTTCCCTTTCTTGGACACAAACACAATCACATAGCAAGGTCTCCCCAGGCTGTAATCAGTGTTTTATTTTTTACTGATTCCCCCCCATTACAATCTCATTTTATTCTTTGAGCAGAGCAAAACATCACTTTTCATTTAGGCCATATTCTTTTGTCACACAGCTCCAGTGTAACACACACATGTAAAAAGTAATTGGTAATCATTCATTTTTTATCAATGCGGAGGAGAGCAGCCAGCTTTGTGAGCAATAACTCACAGTCCATGTTTTTACAGGAAACACAAATGCGATGATACTCATGTCATCAGGAGACAAGTCATGAATAGGAATGGAAGGAAAAAACATTTTTCAACTCACCTTTGGTCTGGAACATTTTGCATCTGATAGCCAAACATTATTGACAAGCCTTGCAATCGAGGGTCTTGGATTACACCATATATTGATGTTTTAGTCTTTTCAAAGCACTTGAGGTGGTTATTGTAATTTGATGAGGCCCAGAGAGCACAAGGCTATGATGCACAGCAACATTTATTTTCTGAGGAAACGGAAAGATAACTGAAACATGATGTTTCTTTGTCTGATTTCTTGGATACATGCTGATTTAGCAAGTTTTTTTTTTTATCCTTTAGCGTTATTCTTACCCTACAACTAACCTAACCTATAAATTAGCAGTCTTGGTTCATTTATAAACATATGTAGGTGAACCCTTTGGTATAACAGAACTATCCAACTCAAGCTCGCTCAAAAGGAATATTAGACCAAAGCTTGCGTAACTTCCTTTCTGTTTCTATGTGCCAGATGTAGTATATAGTAGTCTGGTCACACTCAACAAGCCAACATCCCTTACAAGTCCCCTGAAAAAAACAAGAGCACTATTCAGTGCTGAGTGGACAGGGACTTGTGGCACATTTGTGTTTCTAGCTCCATCAGCTCAGCCTCCATTCTCCACACACACAAGGAGGCTTTATTCGTATTTTAAGTCGTCTTCCCCGGCTACATCAAAAGTGCCAAGCTACATTTAGTAAACTGCGTTTCCAGCAGCTAGTTACTGCTTTTCTTACTCTGTTGCCACCCTGACATTGTCCCCCCCCAACCCCACCCCCAATAAAATATAGTTCTCTCACTAGGATTAAAGGAGCAATATAGTTCAAGGATTATCAAATGCCTTTGATCATGTGACTGCCATGTTTTTGATCTGCAGCACACAGCACCAAATATATTCTCTTTTTCTTGCCTTCTGTCTCTGTCCCTCTCCATGGATTTCCCTTTGCTTGATGGTTCTCTGCAATGTGTGAAAACCTCTTGACAGGGAGTGAAAGAAGAGAGTGTACCATGCGTAAAACACAAGTGCTATGCAAGATAAAGCTGTCTTGTGTTGAAGTTTGATTAGCACGTTGATAACGTCTAAGGAGAACAAGATGCGTTTATATTTTAGCCCAAACTTGTTTTCATACAGTCCTTTATAGCCATCTGAGTCCATATTGGATTTAATGTTTTCCCCCATTTGACGCAATGACAAAGATGTTTTGAGTATAAAAGAAAGCGACCATAGATTATTTGTCTTTGAAACAGGAAGTATTCAGATGCCTCAACCCCCCCACTGTACCCCCAACTGCACCATGCTGCTGTTCATTAGCAATTTCAGAGCCTTGGGCTATTTTGCAGTGTTTCAATCCCTGCATTATTATTATTTAGCGGCTGACTTGGACATGCAATCAAAGGGGCACGCAATATGTGCACCACTTGTATCGCAAAGCAATGCCTTTTCCGTGATGCCCAGACTGAAACCCTATAACTGCGAGCCAGGGGATTACGTGGCTCAAATATAGTCAACAAACCTCAAAAATGTTCTTCATCCTCATTGTACGATCACCTCCTATTAATGTCATTGCCAAGACAAAAAAAACGGGACATATCAAAACAATTATTTTGATGTGGCTTCAAGCAACACAATATTTCAATGTGAATGGCACTCGAACCTTGAATCATTACAAGGCGTGGTTTCGGGGCAAAAGAAATCCCCATCAAAAAATGATTGAATATCATTTTAATGGGTAAAAACCTACAAGGCTTTCATACTGTCTACCTGCCATGTTATTAGATAGACCATGTCAGTCAAGCTGAGGCACACAGAGACAACATACAGACAGGCTAACTAGACATAAGCACACTGCCTTCCATCTCCGTCCCTGCTCGGCATGTTTATCTATTCTTCAATGTGAGCTTAGTGCAGTACTGTGCATATGCATACAGCATGGAGGTTCAGAAACGAGTGCCTGAAGGAAGCTGCACATATAGCACAAGCTCTTTGAAATTGTGCCAGGGTGAGCCTCATTTGCAAAGCAATTTGACAACAAAAGTAAAATACTCATCAACTTCAAACCAAATTCTGGAGATGCCAACTGGTGCGGCTCTGCAGTTTGCTCAAAGGGAGAATTCAAGAGGGTTACATCCGGTGTCTTGTGTGTGTGTGTGCTTCTGACATGGCTTATTTGCAGACCTAGCATTGCACTAGTGCAATGTCATGATTGCTTTGGCAAGGAAAGAGGCTCTAATTTACATGAGAGAGAGTCCTAGAAGCACACAGGAGCTTGCCTTTGACCAAGGTGCCAACAAGCCTGCAGAAAAACAATGTAATTGCAACCTAGAAAGCAGCTGTGTTTAGAACAAACTCACTCTTAACACAGCAGGAACACGTTCTTGTAAATCATTCCAATAGGCAAAATGTGGTATGATGAAATATTTAGTATAGTGGTTGGTATTCATTCATTAGTATGTACACTCAAATCAAATTTAAGCTTTCAAGGCCACTTTGGATTCATTTTTTCAATACATCTCCAACATGACTCAGTCGGTCACT